CTTCCGTAGTGATACTGCCTTGGAAACCCAAGGAGGGGTCGCTATGAGTCGGGGCCGACTCGACGGCACATAACAACAACAACAACAACAAAAGCTATGAACAATGCTCACTTGGTAAAATAAAACAGAATTTGAGTATTGATGCAACCAAATATTGGGATATTACTGTGATGGGAAGAAGCCCTGGTAGCACAATGGTTAAGTGCTCGGCTGCAAACTGAAAGGTTGTTAGTTTGAACTCACCAGACTCTCTGTGAGAGAAAAGACCAAGTAATCTGCTCCTGTAAAGATTTCAGCCTCAAAAATCTGTGGGTCAGTCTACTCTGTCATATACTCTGTCTATGAGTCAGAATTTATTCAGTGGCAAACAGCTGCTGTGGGAGTATGGGAAGAGGAACATTTTACATACTACCAGTCAATAGTACTCAAGAGAAAGTCCTTTCCCACACATAGGAAAACTATAGATAATATCTAAATGGAAAACTCAAGAAACAGCAGAATTCACACGTTATTTAGCAATTGTGAAACAAGTACAAGGAGAACTAAGAATGACTGTGGGGGTGGATGTTGGGAGTGAAGTGGTGAAGGGAAGACAGAGTTTGTAGCTATAGCAGATGGGGGCTCAGGAACTTCTGGACAGGACACCATTGTCTCAGTGAGGGCAGGGTCTGAGGAATGAGTTGGGAACCTGCTGGCACAAAATACTCCAAAACCAAGAATCACACTAAAGATACACAGATGAAGAGAGAGTAACCAAGATTTGTATAGACACATCAAGCTCATGATCCATCCAACCTGCCACTCAACCAACACATACATGCTCTATATTTTTTCCCCAACCTATCCAGGATCTCCTGCACTGATCTAGCTCTGAGTGGTTGACAGTGGTAGCCGGGCACCATCTAGCTCTTCTGGTATCATGGTCATACAGGCTGAGGACTGCATGGTCTACCTTGGACTAATTTTTTCCATTTGTCTTTGGTTTCTTCATTCTTCTTTGCTCTGGATGAGAAAAGACCCATCACTGCATCTACATGGCTGCTTTCAAGCTTTTAAGATCCTAGTCACTACTCATCAAAGTAGGATATAGAACAATATTTTTATGTGTGTGTGTGTGTGTGTGTATATATATATATATATATATATATCCTATATACAGAGAGAGAGACACACACATACACATAAAGCACATAAGGCAGGATAGATGGAACCAGAATAAATCTCTTTGGAAAACTATTCACCTCCAAAACCTCAACTCAGCAAAACCAAAATAACCAAATTCACTGCCATCAAGTCATTTCCGACTCATAGTGACCCTTTCTTGAGTTTCTGAGGCAGTATCTCTATGGAAGTAGATTGCCCAGTCTTCCTTCCAAGGAGTGACTGGTGAGTTTGAACTGCCAGCCTTCTGGTTAGCAGTCATATCCCTTAGGCACCACACCACCAGAGTAAAAGCATGGCTCAAATATTTTTCCACAACTTTTCTGGGGCCAAACATAAAACACAGGGAGAAAACAGTTCTGCAACATACTCACAAGTTATATGAGGGAAAAACTAATTTTAGAAAATAAACAGCTCTAATGAGGGTTCTGCAGCAACTGGCTCTAAACAACAATAAGGAAAGGGGAGACTTGTTGAATCTCTTGTTGGAATAAAACAAGCCAGGGAGGGATATAAAAGCCCCAACAGCCTAGAGCTCCTTACACACTCCCTCACTCACTCACTCATATACTCATTCACCTACTCCTACTCCCACCACTGCTACTGCAGAACCTGTGTTCCAGCTACATCTACCATGTCCATCTGCTCCAGCGACAGAAGCTATAGCAGCCACGTCTGCCTGCCCAGTGCCTGCACTGACTCTTCCTGGCAGGTGGATGACTGCCCTGAGAGCTACTGCGAGCCCTCCTCCTGTGCCCCCTGTTGCCAGTCTACCTGCTGTGTACCCACATGCTGTGCCCCAGGCCCCTGTCTGACCCTAATCTGCACCCCTGTGAGCTGTGTGTCCAGCCCCTGCTGCCAGGCAGCCTGTGGGTCCAGTCCTTGTCAATCCATCTGCACCAGTCCCTGTGAGCCCTCCTGCTGCCAGCAGTCTAACTGCCAGCCTGCATGCTGCACACCCTCCTGCTGTCAACAGGCCTGCTGTGTGCCTGTCTGTTGCAAACCCCTCTGCTGCAAGCCCATTTGCTGCAAGCTCATCTGTTGCAAGTTTATCTGCTGCTGCAAGCCCGTCTGCTGTGAGCCTGTCTGCTGTGGGACCAGCCCTTGCCCATCATCCTCATGCTGCCAGCCCTCTGACTGCACCCTGTCCTGCTGCAGACCATCCTCCTGTGTGTCCCTCATCTGCCAGCCCGTGTGCAAGCCTGCCTGCTGTGTGCCTGCCTCTTCCTGCTGTGCACCTGCTTCCTCCTGTGTGTCCCTGATCTGCCGCTCTGTGTGTCCCCACCCGGCCTGCTGTGGCACCTCATCTGGTCAGAAGTCTTGCTCCTGAGTTGATTCTCCTTCCTGTGCTCCTCCCTTTGCCCTCTTCTATAGCAGAACTTCCTCTTCTGTGTTATTCCTCTTCTGCCCTATGTGCAAGCCCTCCTGCTGTGTGCCCAACTCCTCCTGCTGTGCTCCCTCTCATGCTGCCAGCCCAGCTGCTACCACCCAGCCTCCTGTGTAACCCTTGTCAAATGACACTTATGCTTCTATCCAGCCTGCTATGGCCCCTTATCTGGCCAGAAGTCCTGCTGCTTAGTTGGTGCCCCTAACCTCTCAGAGCCAGCTGGACTCCATGATCCCTCAGCAAAAAAGCTGAAGTCACAGATACCAGGATTAAATTGCAAAGCAGAAGGCTGCGGTTCAAATCCTCCAGCCACTTCTCGAGAGGAAGATGGGGCAATCTACTTCAGTAGTGATACCACCTCAGAAACCCAAAGAGGGGTTGCTATGAGTCGGGTCCAACTCAACAGCAGTGAGTTTGGTTTTTTGGTTTAAGAGTTTAACTCTCCAGAAAAGACACCCACAGGCTGCTTCCTCTGTGGCACCAAGAATGCAAATGATGTCCTTTGTCCCTCAGGGTGGTCCGGTAAGCAGCTACCACAGCCACCCCAGAGCCTGAGCACAGGTCTAGAACATCATGCTGGCCCCATGTTCTGCCCTGCCATGCTCCAGTCCCTGTACATGCCTCATCCCAGCGAGCACCTGCCTTTCTGACCTAATAAACTCTCCTGCATTACACCCACAGGTCTCCTTTCTTCTCTGAGAGTAGCAGTAGTAGGGCCTGTGGGTGGGGCACATAAACATCAGGTCCACTGGGGGACTTCTGATTATACCATCTTGTGGTCTTTAAAAAGGAGAAAAGAGCCAGGAAGCACAAAGTCCAGGGACCTGGAGTGGACTGGAGCAGCCACCTCCACTCCCAGCTAAAGTCTCAGCTGACCATCTGGTCCTCTTAGTCATACACCCATATATCCCCGTCACACACACACACACACACACCCCTAACAAGGTCCTTCCTGTAGCAGTAGGCTGGGCGATTACATAAAATATAAATATGCCACTTTGATAACCAAGGTGCATCTGGGCCCAAACCAAACACACTGCCATCAAGTCGATTCCAACTCATAGCAACACTCATTGGGTTTCCAAGGCAGTAAGTCTATAGAAGCAGGCTGCCTCATCTTTCTTCTGCAGAGCGGCTGGTGGGTTCAAACCACCAAGCTATTGGTTGCAGCCAAATGCCTTTACCACTACACCACCAGAGCTCCTGGTACCTGACTTAAGCTTTGGTCTTTTTGTTGCCTTGTATGCATGCAAAAGTTGATCATAAAAAAGGATGAAAGAAATAGATACACTTGAATTGTGGTGTTGGTGAAGAATACGGAATACACCAGAGACTGCCAGAAGAATGAACAAGTCAAACTTAGAAGAAATACAACCAGAATGCTCCTCAGTAGCCAGGATGATGAGACTTCACCTTACTTACTTTGGACATGTCATCAGGAAAGACCAATTACTAGAAAAGGACATAAAGTTTGGTAAAGTAGGGGGTCAGTGAGAACAGGGAAACTCTCAGTGAGATGGACTGACACAATACACAATGGGCTCAATGACAACGAACTCAAACATACCAACAATCATGAAGATGCGGCTGGACCAGGAAGCATTTTGTTCTGTTATACATAAAACCACCACGAGTAGGAACTAACTCAACTGACAACTATAAGCAATTATAAGATGACATCTATTCTGGGTCATAACCTGTGGTAGATTGCATCAATGGCCCAATTCTCTACCCCTCCCTGTGGCCTTGCTGCCCCTCCTATGGGAAGTGAAGCACATTTCCCAATCCTTTGATTCAGTTTGGCCATGAAACCTCATGTTGTTGTTGTTATGTGCCATCAAGTCAGACCGAACTCATAGAGACCCCTCCTTGGCTTTCTGAGACAGTATCACTATAGAAGTAGATTGCCCAATCTTCTTCCTGAGGAGTGGCTGGTAGTAGGTTTGAACCACCAGCCTTCTGGTTAGCAGTCAAATGCCTTAGGCACTATGCTAGTAGGATATCAGCAAACATACTATGAGACTTAAAAGCACTTGTGTAATTGGGCGTGTTCTCCTCTTGTGCCTCTGCCATCATCATGAGAACATGTCTGGGCTCACCTGCTGGAAGATGAGAGATGCTTGGAACAAAGCCAATCACCTAGGTCATCCCAGCTGAGGCCATCCTAGATCAGCTGACAGCCTGCTAAGCCCAGACACATGAGCAAACCCAGCCACAATCCGCAAAGCTGTCTCTTCAACCACACCAAAGATGTAAGCAATGAATGCTCACAGTTTATGCCACTGAGGTTTGTGGGCTTTTGTTATGTGGCCCCATTTAAACAATTTTCTAGTTGTTGAAACCTGAAAGTATGTGCCTCTTAGAACTGATGACATATGGTATTTCCTTCCAAGGTAGTGCTGCAGTAACTAAGACAATTTGGCAAAAGTAAAACAGAGTAGAAAAAAATGTAACAAAGCCAGAGGAGAGATTAACACCAAATATGATAAACAGGAACATTTGGTACCAAAGGGCAGAGGCAAATTACCTGAAAAGCAAGGTAAGCATAGGTTTACTTGTTCTTATGATTAGTGAAGCCCATGTGAAATTGTTCACTATTGATTAGTAAGTAAGCACAAGTAAGCCTTTACTTACCTTACTTACTGAGTGCCGTGTCCCTGTCAAGGATTATAAATTTGAAAAGAGTGTGTAATTGGGAGAAAGAAAGATGCCTGCTATGCCTAGAAGCAAAATCTTGGATGTGGTGAAAAAACGTGAAATTCTTAACTATAGATTACTAAGTAAGCACAACCAAATCTGTGCTTAGCTTGCTTATTGGTTAATCCGACATTGCTATAGGGCACACATTTTCCTTGAAAATTTCTAACAGCCAAAAGCAGAGAAGATAAATGAGATAAATCACACTCTTCAATGGCAGAAGCACTGCATGGGCTCGGCTGAGAACATGAGAAACATGCCTTCATGGACTCTCCTATGGGGATCCTGTGTAAGTAGGGTTATACCTGTATCCCATACCCTTGCCTGTGGGGCACTCTGCCCAAGCTCCACAGTTTGCTACCTGAATTCAAGGACCATGACCCACCAAAAAATTAACAATAGCACCTCTAGGGAAATTCTTGGCAACACAAACCCAGAAGTCATAGAGACCTAGGGAACAAGTCTGCCTGTGGGTGGACTGGCACCATGATTGTCCTGCTAACTGGCCCTTGGAAGCAGATCGCGTTCAGAAGTCTGGCTCTAGAGATGTCAACCAGTCTTCACAGCCAAAGATCCAGCTTCAATAATCAGCAAAATGAAAGTGAAATACAGACTCTCAGACATACAAAAGCTGAAAGAATTCACCAGCAGACTTGAACTACACGAATTGTTCAGAGGAGCCCTTAGGCAGAAAGAAAATGATACCAAATGAAAACATGGCTGATCTACAAAAAGACATACAGAGCACCAGAGATAGCATATGGGTAACTATAGAAGATTTCCTGCTTAGTAGTAAAAGTATAAGATTTCTTTCTTATTATTTAAATCCTTTTAAAGACTATTTAAACAAAACTAGTAACAACGTATTGTGGCATGTAAAACATAATAAAAGTAAAATGCATAACAGAAACAGCACAAAGATTTGAAGGGGAGGAAGGGAATAGACTATTGTAAAGCTCTTATACTATACAATAAGCAGTACAATATTACTGGAATATAGACTAGAATAAATTAAAAATGCAAACTATAACCTTAAAATTCAAAACAAAGTACACTAAAGTATAAAATTAAGAGTTATAGCTAATAAGCCAACAAAAGAAAAAATGTGGAATAATAAAAAAAATATATTCAATTGATTGAAAAGACAGTAGAAAGAGAGGGAAAGGGGAAAAATAGTCAATATAAATAGAAAAGAAATAGTAAAATGATAGCTAGAACCTGCAAAAATGGTGTGGCAGAGTCATCTGACCTCTAATTTTACAAGGGAAAGAAAATCATTATTTGCATCAACAGCTTACGGCTGACTTCTAGGAGGTAGTGGTCATATTTGCTTCTACCTTCCAATATTTTTACCAGTTCTGACATTGTCCCTGCCATAGCACTCTCCATTTCTCTGATGGGTTCCATAATTCATTGCAATGGCCATAGAGAACTCAGACTGTACTCACAATTATAGGACTATTAGAGAAGTGTTGTTGTTTTTGTTATGTGCCGTCGACTTGGACCTGACTCATAGCGACCCCTCCTTGGGTTTCCGAGGCAGTATCACTATGGAAGTAGATTGCCCCATCTTCCTTCCGAGGAGTGGCTGGTGGGCTTGAACCGCCAGCCTTCTGGTTAGCAGTCAAGTGCCTTAGGCACTATGCTAGAGAAGTAACAGGTTACAATTCAGGCTCAGGAGCATTCAGAACAGAATTCTCCGATCAGGACACCCTCTTCTCACCCATGCCTGTGGGCTGGTCTCTCTCTGGCCCTCAGCCCCTTGACCTGGCCTGGCCCTGCTCAGGCAAGTGTCACAAAGCTCTTTTAGCTCTGCAGATAAGAGCCCAGAGGTACCCAATTCAGTCTAAGTCTCCACCCAAAGGTTCTCAGCTCTAGCTCTGTGGGTTGACAAAACTAGCTCCCCTAAGTGCCCAGAGGCACCTTACTCAACCAGCAGGACTTAAGCCTGAAGTGCTCAGCTTTTCCTCACATAGTATTTGAATAATACTATGAAAGAACTTGACTAATTCAACATTTAAAGAACACTCCCCCCAACAACAGAATACTCAATCTTTTCAAATGCATTCAAAACATTTACCATATCTTGGGCTACTAAACAAATCTCAATCAACTTTAAAGGATTCAAATCATAAAATGGGTATTATCTGACCATGATGGAATAAAGTTAGAAAGATTAACAGAAAGATCTCTGGAAAATCCTATATATTTAGAAACTAAACAACATCTTTCTAAAAGACTCAGAA